TTTATAACATGTAAGAATAGAATACGTGTCATACTCTAGCCATCTATTTCATTCTTTGCTTCTTATAACTTGCATAGAAGTATATAATCAAGTTTGATCGAATAGATATTGCGATGACGAAATCGTGCGGACTAATGGCAACATCGGACTGCCAGAGCAATGCTTATCATCAATAGAAAGAAAAAAAAACTTGCTCTTCGACTACATACACGTCATATTCACCTTGCTATATAACCATGGTGTGCTGTAAACACAGATAAAGTTGAGATTCTTCTTTTTCATCTCACTATGTTATACTTCAAAGATAAGGCTTGAAAGTGTGACTTTGGATGTTGGTATGAACGTCGCTTTGATGAAAACATGGTTGGAGGGTGGAATCCAGAGAGAATCATATAAGCGAACGATGTGACTCATGCTATTTGCTTTCATTGAATAGTTTTATAGGTGCCTCTCTCACATCTACTCACGTTTTGATGCACTTGAAGCAAGAAAAAAATTTTGTTGTTTTTCAGCGGATTTTTTCTCACATGTTCTGCATATAAGTAAAACAAAAATAAAAACAAAGTCACTCAAAATGAATCGAACAAGTTAACGACAATATGAAGCTTGGTTCATGAGATGGTTGTTGGACTTCATAGTGCTACTCCTTTGTGTAAATGTGAATATAAGTGCTATGAATACCCATACCTATTACCTACCCCAATCCTATTTTCCACTTTCATTCCAACATCCACCCATGCACAGTTTCCTAGTGTTCGTGTTCAGAAGAATCGATATGCTGCTCCATTCTGATCACTACGAGCTAGAAGAATGCGCGTACGATTGCGGACATATGCTATAGATGACTAATGATCCCACCTATACTATCTTCACCCTCACATCACGTTCCAATTCACACCCAAATCCTTTCAATGTTAATCGTTATCAGACTTTGTCTTTCTGTCTTTTTTAGATACAATGGTCTTATAAAAACCATTGACTTTTATTGCAAAAACGGGTATGTCTGTGTTTTTTTCAATAGTCTCCTGTGTCGAACGTAAAGCAGTATGAGATCTGTGTTACAGATAAAGTTACTTGGAAGAAAACAATTTGGGTGTGGCTGTGGGATGTTGGTGTGGGAGGTGAAGAGAATATAACACTCACATTCATACGCATCCACACTCGAACTGTGTCATTTCACATCTTGGTTTTTTCCTTTATGTTTCCACATATACAGTGGGTGTCAAAATTATTCATCCAGGTATAAATTCGGTTTTTTCCGTTTTCGAAAGTATTTTAAAATAATTCAAAAAGTGATTTGAACAGAGAAAATTGTTTGCTGTAGGATGTGGGTGTGGGTGAGTGTTTTGTGGGTGGCTGGTAGTGCAGAAATGGATATTTTTCTTCTCTCCAACTACACCCACACCCACACCCACGCTCTATCATTCTGTGAAGTAAAAACGAACTCTTGTTTTTGAAATATAAGAGCTGATAAACTGGGATTTTCATTTTCAAGAGATCTTTTATTCAAAAAATAAAGCAATTTTGCTTCATTTTATCGTACCCTTCTAGCAAACAATTTTCTCTATTCAAATCACTTTTCGGATTGTTTTAATATACTTTCGAATATGGTAAAAACCGAAATTACATCTGGATGAATCATTTTGATAATCACAGTGTGTCATTGGATTTTTCCTTTCTCTTCTATGAGTCACTATATGTATATATATCTTCATATATATATATATATATATATATATATATATATTCGTGTGTGTTCTCTTGATTTGTGCTATTGTTCCTCTTTTCTTTGATTTATTCTTCTTTACCTTTACATGGTTAGTATTTTTTCAATAAAACCAAACTCATGTTCACACAAACTTACAGGTAAAATCAGGATTGCCAGATCTTCTGAGAAGTCAGGAAAGTTTCTGAAATTTGAACATTTTTCTGATTTTTTTGTCGAATTCCAAACGTTTTTAGATGGTCGCTTTACTAACGAAATTAATTACGAGTATAACCCATTAATATTATGGACCCGTATTTCGCAACCTTCTTTCCTTTTTTAATCTCTTGTAGTTTCTGAGTTCGTCAGCCACTGACGAGTGCTTTAATATATCAGTAAATTTTTGCGTTGCTGAACTTAAGAATGAATGTTAATTTTTTTTTGAACGATTTTGTAAACATATTTTAGTTTACAAACATTTATCGAAAGAATTTCGAACAAAAGTAAACTTGAAAAATAATATGGAATTTACGTTCTATAACCTTTATTATTTTTTGTAAGATTTTTTGACCTGCATTGTTTATATATATGATTTGTTTACGCATATTTTTCGTAAACAGAGCTTTGAGCTTCGTGAAAGAATCCGACATTAGGTGTCTTTTGCTAGCACTTTTTGTATTAACTAACAATTGAAGACCATACAACGGCAAGTTAAGAAGATTGCTCATAGTCGAATCAAATGAATGTTTCCACTCACAAACCAACTAGTTTAAAACATCAGCTGCCAATAGCGTACACGGACCGAGATATTTAAATTTTAAGGTATTTATAGTTTGTCATGTGCCCACACTACGAAATTTCATCAACCTTTAGTTTTGTTTTTTCATCATGGTTGAATGGAACACGATTATTCACATAAGGAGGTACAATATCACACACACTCAAAAGCAATTTGACAGCAATTAACATTGTTTATTTATTACCCTTATAATTAAAAAAATGTTGTCTTAGGCTTCATAGAATTTGCTTTTTAATATGTGTGTTATTGTTTTTTCTTATGTAAATGGTCCTGCTCCCTCCAACCATAGCGAAAAAAGAAAAACAACCGTTGATGAAATTTCAGTGTGGACACATAACAAACTGTAAACTTCTGGAAACTCGAATATCTCGGTGTGTATGCACTATTGGTAGGTCATATTTTTAATTAGTGGGTTTGACAGTGAGAGCATTCATTTGATCCAAGTCTGATCAATCTCCATAGCTTACAGTATACGATCTTTTGTTCTAAGCTATATAATGGTTGTGTTGTCTTTCTTTACTATGAAATACTTTCGGAAATAAAGTATGAATCGATAAATAAAAAAAGTGAAGTCTTTTGTGCAAGTATGTCAATATGATTGTCCTTGGCTTGCAAAAAGTTTCCCTTTCTGATTAGTGTCTGATTTCGGAAAAAAATTCTGATTTTTTTTCTGATTTTTCAGTTTTATCATCTAGTAACCCTAGTGAAAATACCAGACGCGATTCTTTTCTTCATTCTGCACAGAGAGAACAAGCAAAAAGTGCATGTAGGATTGAGATGGGAGAAAAAAAATAGAGTTGCTATCTAGTTCAAAAATAAATAAACAATTCTGAAAAAGTAAAATTTCAACGGGCAAAAACTTACTAATAAAAATTTCAATGGGTAAATCTCCAAATGAAATGGGCGATTGCCCATTTGCCTCTCCCTTGACTACGCCACTGTATATGATAGTAAGCAAAATCTGTTGTAGATATCATGAATATGTAAAACCGCCTTATTTGTCAATTAATTCAATGAATATAATAATAAGAATGTTAAATTAAGAAAAACGAATGACAAATAATGAGTGAATAGCAACAATGCAAATAAAAAATAGGGCGCCCGTAGAAAAAAATAAAAAACTTCTGTTCGAAGCACAGAAGTAAATAAGACAAATCTTTTCGTTGCTAATCGATTATCCTCGAGCACAACTAAAGTCTAGAAAGGAGTTTTCACTTAAACTATTTTCTATTAGTTTGACAAGGCTAAAGAGTACATCTGAATTCCACATTTCCGCTCCACAGAGGCTGCGCTAACAAGCTTTTGTAATTCATTTGTGTCATGAACTCCTAATAGTGTGTAGGAGTCATCTCTTCTCGATTGACTGTTGTTATTTCGGCAGCATCATCTAGCTTAAATAGTAGTAAAAAATTTCTGTAATTCATCGTGAGCAGAGTTTTCTATGCAATATCAAGCTACAAACTATTTTTTACTGGTGAAGAAGACGGCTTTTAAAACGATTGGTTAAGGTCTAATATGATATTTTTTTTTTGTTATAACTATCAGCTGTGAATATAAATGGTTACACAATTTGTTTGCTACGTAAAATTGTATATACTCGATAAATAACATTTGAATGTTAAGTGAAATTTCTTGAATGCTCAGTTACGTCAAATTTTCTTAGTAATAGAAATATTTGCAAAGTTTATTAATCGATTTGTGCGTAAAATAGTTTTTCGTGAAATTGTTTTATTAAAATTATGGTTATAAAAAACTTTACTAAGTGAAAATTTTTATTCGCAAGTAATTTTTAATTCAGACAAAATAAGATTATCTAAGATAAGATGAAGATTTATTTTTCTCATATGGCGTCATGATATGAAGGATGCAACAACTTTACATCAAACATTTAGAGAACAAAAAATGGACTGATGTATGTCATTTTGTCGAGTCAATAATATCATTATGAGAAATATCATCTAAATCAAAATGTTTTACTGATTATATATATCAGATGACGAAGTAACAAAGTATCACAAGAAACGATATACAAACATACAAAAGAAAAAGTGGCTCTAGTATACAATGCATAAAAATGGAAAAATAGACTTTGAAATCATCCAGATATCTTCAAAGTGTACATTTGCAACCATATAATCGGTATAGGCAAGAAGTTGAAATTTTGTAAACCACTTCCAGCAACAGAAGATATACCTTTATGTGAAAAAAAGAAAACAAGGACGAGTACAAAAAATAGCCAAAGTGCTATTAATACGATAACTGTGTAGTTAAATTTTTTACTTACGTATTATTGTCTTTTTATTTAAAACATTTTTATGTTAACTTATTGATCTACAATGTTTCATCTAAAAAATTAAAACTTTCTTATTTAGAGTTTAAATAAAAAAATTATCAAAAATACTTTTTCTTTTTTTTAGTTAAAATCATTTCCAGTAAATTACCTAGTAAAACTTGGACATTTCACTTAGTTTTCATTAAATATTACATTACATTTTAATGGAAGCTAGTACAAGTTCTAATCGACCGATCCATGTTCGCAAAGGTGATTTGACAAAAGAACAAGTAAGTTTACATTTGAAAAAATGTCGATGAAATCAAAAGACTTTGTATTTGCTTCAGACTGATGTTATTGTCGTGTGTTCGTCATCAATAGGCTTACTCGCAAGTGTATTACAAGCAGGTGGAGATACTGTAATGTCTTCATACAACACTGAGTTAAGAAAAAATTCAACACAAATCATTGCAGTTGCAGCTAGTGGACAACTGCTAGCGAAAGCAATTTATTTTGTTTCATGGGAACCCAATTCTGATGAAATACTACTCTGTAAATCATTGGAAAAACTCGTATCAAATGTAATTAAAAAAGCAACGAATGAAAAGTATAAGAGTATCGCATTTCCGGCTATTGGTTGTGGTCAGTCTGGCTGTTCGATCAATCTTGTTACTAAAACTTTAATTGGAAAAGTTCATCAATTACGAACTTTCCATTCAATGACCGTTTCTTTTATAATACAACCAGATAGAACAGATATTTATAATGAGTTTCAAAAACAAATTGACTTATTAGAACCATTCGAACAATTAGAACCATTAGAACGAACTCCAGAAATACCAACAGTGTCTGTTCCAATTAGAAATGGAATGATTATAGTGGAAAAGGGAAATATAACAACACAAAAAGTAGAGAGCTGAGAACATTGAATAGTACAAAATGTATTTTATATTCTGCTATTCTTTTAATAGGTTGATGCTATTATTGGAAACTCATCATCGATAGCCTTACAAGATACGATAATTAAAGCAGCTGGTGATGAAGTTGAAACTGCGTATGAAATCGAATATAGATGCAATCCGAATTCGATTCTGATCTCAACTCCACCCGGTAAATTACCTTGTCAACGAATCTTTTTTCTTAGATGGGAACCAGATGCAGATGACTCTATACTTCGACAATCGATCATCGATTTCATATGGAATATTATCCAGAATGTTATCTCCTGTAATTATACATCAATTGCATGTCCAGCTATTGGATGTGGAGGATATGGCTGTTCAGTAGATATTGTAGTCAAGACAATAGTTCAAGAAATTAAAAATCAATTGAAAACAAGAAATTTAGCATTGACAGTCAAGTTTGTTATTCGACCTGAGCAACAAAATATTTATGATGAATTTTGTAAACAAGTCTTGGCGTCCGAAGAAGGTAAAATCTTCGATTGCTTCTGTGATTATCATATGCCATTTGAATTTCACTAATTAATTGAGTAGGATGAAAAACAAAAATTTTAAAGTTGAATATCTTAATAATCGATTCAGGATTTTTCTAAAGAAATATGCACCTGAGATAGACTTTGATGAACACCATATAATAAACTACTCGATTTGTATTACTGGAATGAATCTATTCCATGAGACTAAAGCGTGTCAGAAAACAAGTATCCGTTTGACAGAAAAATTCATCAAATGGTTATAAATTTGTTTAGAGATTTTCAGAGTATCGCTCGAAGATCAACTACCAGCAACATGGGTGAAATCAACAAGCAATCAATTACGATTTGTGGTGCCGACTAACACAGACGAATACAAATCTGTTTTCGAACCGTTCAATAAGGCAATGAAAGGAACATATACTAAAATAATAAAAATAGAACGTATTCAAAATGAGCGATGGCTTTTGCAATATTTGGCACATAGTCGAGATTTTAAAAAAAGACTCAGAATAGATACTGAAAAACGTTTATATCACGGATGCCCTAAAAAAGCAGCCGAATCAATTATCGAAGACTGTTTTAATAGAAGTTTTGCTGGAGTGAACGGTAAGTTTTGTTTATTTCTTTCCAAAAAAAAACAATTCTTTTGAATACTTCTCTCTTCTAGGAACAGCATATGGTGTTGGTGTTTATTTTTCATCGAATCCAGTCTATAGTCATCGTTATACTCAACCGAGTGCAAATGGAGAACGATGCATGTTTGTTGCGCGCGTTCTAATTGGAAAAACGACTAAAGGGAATAGCTCAATGAGAACTCGACCTGTGGGATTCGATTCAACAAGTGATGGGAATCATATTTACGTCACTTATCATGATGCACAAGCGCTCGCCGAATATTTAATAACTTATAAATAGAGTTCAATAACTATTATTTGAAGTTAGTGTGAAAAGAAGTGCTCTTGACTTCTATAAAATACAATTGAAATTAATATACAATCTTATAATTTTTTCAAAAGAAAAAAAAAACAACGAAGTTTTATGGATATTTCTCCATGAAAACATGCGAACTTGCGGGTGTGTGGGCATGGATGTGATGACGGGTTAGTGCGAGTGTGGATGCGGTTGTGGATCTACTCTTCACTCTCACCCACATCCGCATCCACACCCACACCCAAGAAAAATTTGAAACATCTGGTCTTATTCTCAGTAGCGTAATATATTTCTGTTAAATAGTGCGAGAATGGGTGTGGATCTTCTCGTCGACACTAGCCACACCCACACCTTTCTGGCAAATTGTCAGTTGTGATGAACAGAATTCTCAATAAAACTATGTTAATAGGGAGAGAATGGAAATGTCGATAATAATAAATGTGTAAAACACAGAATTTTTAAATTTTGCTTGTACGAATTCTGCCACTCCTCACGATTTTTCAATTAACCAGTAAATTTTTCATCGGTATCTTTTATTCTTCTGGAAGTTTAGAACATGGCATAATGAGTATAAATAAGATTGGGACATGTTGATCTCAGTATTGGATGAAATTTTCATTGACTTTTGATTCAATAGGGTTGAGAAAAAAATCTTTTGCACTATTTCCAAGGATATGAAGGTCTTTTTTTGACAATATTCGATATTGAACTATAGATATCCAATGATATACGTAAACTTTTGTAAAAAAAAAAAAAGAAAAAGGACTATTTTGTTTTAAGATAAGCACAACAGTCAATGTTTAGATAAATGTGAAGACTTCGACGATTGATTCTTTTTTCATCAATTCGATATTCTTGATCATAAAAAATGAGGATCTCCGAACTTCTCTGAAACACGAGAGATGATTTGGTATAAAAAATGAATCCATAACGACATGTATATAAGGTTTTATGATAAAATTTGACATTTAAAAAAACTCTGATAAAAAAAAAGTCTTATACACATACATATCTGGACGCTTTCCGGTTGCTCATGATAAATCACATAACAGAATTTGATACCATTATTATCAACTTCCTACAGATCCTCATTAAACGTATGGGTATTTTCTTTCTTTTTTCCGATGATTATACGCTCATTGATTTGAAAACTTATCACTAGACATTTTGTTCGGATACTGGTACCTTTAAACCATATTTTATTTTCTTTTTGATTCAAATACCAGTATTTCGTATGGTACGTTTTAGAACTCATCCATGCAAGTGATTATATGTAAAATACGAATCAATTATATTTTGTCACATAATGGCTCGAAATATATTATATGATATTTTGCTTTTTCCTCTATATTTGTCAATACATGAAAAGTAAAAGGTTGGATCTTGACAATCGTGTCACATGCAACTGAAGCGAGTATTACTTTTTCAAAGGCGAAGGAGAGACCATAATGACCCATTTTGGGCAATGTTCTTTTTCTTTAGAAAGAAAAGAAAATAAAACGTATATTTGTAAAGTGTTAGTACAAGCAAATATGATATTTCTTCTTGATATGTATAAAGGTAGTAGTCTGAATGTAGTCCTATGGTTAGTTAGGATACCCCAACACGGATACAATAGTAAATCGTAGCCACATTCACAAAACAGACATCTCATATTTTGAATAGAAATTGACAACTCTAGATCTTGGTATAAACAATTTTGAACATTTTGACATTTCTGTTTCAAAAGTCTATCATTACACTCAGATTAAAAGTTAGCCATTAAAATTATTCATAGTTGCTGATATCATGTTTTAGTTTAGAAATGGGATTATGCAGCTGAATGTCCTAGTGATTCGAATTCGATTCGATCAAATGATATGTAGTTACAAGAATTTTGCTGAGTCAGTCTTAAGAAACATCTTCAATAGACATCATTTTGAGAACTTAATATGACGTATTTTCATTTATTTTAAAAAGTACCGTTAATAAAAGATAAAATTAGTCAGTTTTAGATTTTTATTAGATAAAAATGCATATCCAATAATCAAAACTGTAGGACTTTGCAAGGAGGAAATTTCGTTGACGGTATTCATTTCTTTCATATAAGAATTATGGAATTTCAGTGAATGATGAAGCAGTCGAATATTGAGGAAGCGACCGATGAAGAAATTGAGTATTTAAAACAATTGTGAGTACTTCACTTCAAATTGTGAGAACCTTGAACTAACAAACAAGATGATGATCAAGTTTCATCGACGATTATTGATAGTTTTCTGTACTAAGGCATTATCGAACATGTAAGAAATAGGAATTTACTAAAGAAGATGGGCATTCAATACATCATTAATATGTATCATTTTCTATTGAGCCCAAATATTGTTAATCATTACAATGTTCTTTGGATCGAAGTAAAAGATGAGTTTGATGTTGATATTCGGCGATATTTTGATCGAACGAATGAATTTTTACAGACACGTAAAAAAACAAGGAACAAAAAAGTTTTAGTTAATTATAAAGAAGGTGTTTCTCGTTCGTCTACAATCATTTTTGCCTATCTATCAATGTAAAATTGATTTCATTTGTCTATACTGATTGTTGATGACTTCTTTTAGGTACTATTATGATACACTTCATAATACTTACGATCATTTGGTTGAACGACAATGTATAGTTAGGCCGAAGGATGTTTTTCTTCTATGACTCATTCGTTATGAGAAAGATCTATATGCAAACAAAATTGTTAAAGAAAAACAATGTTTCAGTTAATCAATGAACTATAGGAAACTAATTTTATCGATCAATTTTTTGAACGTTGTATTTACTAGACGTTGGTGAAATTGAAAAAAAATTGAACTGAAAAGGGTTCGATTTTTTCAATATCGATCTTGATTAATTATAAAGAAAAAGCGAAACTATGTGACGTTCAACAACCGGACACGGATAGTGTACAAATTTATTGTACTTGATGAGAAAAGAAGAAATACAATTTCACTATATCTCGTTAGAAATTAATTTGTCTATTGCTAAATGATGATTGAACTAGTGTGACGTTGGAATATCTGTTTGACATATGATGAAATGAAGGACATGTTAACATTTACGTATATTAAGCGAAGAATTCAATTCAATTCAGTTTCAGTTGCTAACATCGAAAATCATAAAAAATACACTGTTGAAAGTCGAATGAATAGAATTAAAACAGAATCGTATTGCAAATTTAGACAGTAGAAAGTTCATCATTTAAAAAAATGTCAATCATGATCGCCTTTTGTTAGAATCTGGTATTACAGGAAAATATTTATCTGTACTTCTTTGGATCGCTCTTGATTCGATCTTATACTTTCAAAATCTATTGGTAGTCTCCATTTAGCAATGATTAATTGTATATGGGTCGGGCTTTTATGAAAGTGAAACGAATAGATAATTGATAGAAAACAAATCAAAGGAAAAAAAGCCGCTCTTAGTAACAAACGATATATATTGAACTCTATTTTTTAGTCGAAGAAGGCTTATAAACGTATCGGGAATAACGGTTGTTTTATTTCCAATATATTGAATGGCCAATATCATCATGATACGTGACAAATGTATATAGAATAATATAAATTATCAAAAATTCTCATCTTGAATTGTTTTAATATTATTTCATCGTCATTCTGAGAAAGTAACGGATGATCCAAAAGTTCCTACAAAAATGTTGAAGCTTATATGTCTGTCATTTTAAAGGCTAGAAGCCTAATTTTTTTATTTGAAAGATCTTATCTTCGTGTACAAAAAACATCTAATGACAAATAGCAAGTTTCTTTTTTATTCGACGCTCGAGTTTTTTCAAGGACTTTGTTTCCCCTCCCCCTCCCCCCAATTTTGTTAGTGCACCAATTGAGTTAAAACACCCCAAAAAAACTTCGATTGAGAGTGGGGTGTGGGTGCAGGTCAGAGGTGCAGAGAATTTGCCGTAAAAATGAAAACTTTCCCTAATCGGTAAAAACTTTTTGAAAAATTTCTCCAAATCAGAAAATGAGAAATCCTTATTTATTCGAGCATATTTATACGTAGCAAGCAGATGTCCAAAGCGAGCTACTTCACTAAATATATATTCCTTGTTTTCTGCTTGAAAACATTTTAACAATTCTATATCGAATGAATGTTGTAATCTGGAAAACACGACGAAGATTGAGAGAAAAAGTGATAGGCACAGGATAGAAAAAGACAGACGAGTAGAGCGAACGACACATAAAGAAAGGAAAGAAAACAAAGAAGTAAGAGGGTCATTATAATGAATAGCCAAAGGAAGAGTAAGGCAAATCAGAGACTCTTTTTAATGAGTTTGTGATTTTTCCCTGTAGGAAAAATCGTCTTTCGCAAAGTTTCCCCAACCGCGCGGTGGTGCACACGGGTAGATTCTGCATCTCTAGTGAGGATGAACAGAACATACACACCCACACCTTTTTATTAACATACTTCTCACACCAGATATATACATCAAAGCTACAAACTGCGCTGTTAGTTGTAATTATACTAATCAAGTAATTGAGAATTGAAGATGAATGCGTCATAGTAGTTTTATTTAAAAAGAAAGAAAGCAAAAAAAATCTTATTTGTTGATTGTGTTTATCGAAATTAACTTCACTTTTATCTGTACAGGTTTCTTTTCTCCTTTATTTTACATTTGATAACAATTATCGTCAGGTGTAGATAATTCAAACTTCAAGTAAATTTTGTTCTTTGCCTTTTCTTTTTACACATAATGATGATGTTAGATCAATTTTAACTTAACGGGTATCGTTTTTGTCAATCCATCTCGATCGATTGAAATAAAACACTTGACTTTTTCAGTCGATTAGACAAAAAAATACGGGAGTGTCATGAAAATGATCTCTATACATTATAATGAACACATTCTTAAAAAAAAGACTTTTTTTTTAATTAAAATACGAAATGTATGTCAGTTTGTTTTAGAAAAGAAAGCAGTAAAGATTGCGTAAGAAGGCTTATGAAAGAAATAATATTGTTCATAACTGCTGTGCTATTAGCTTATGGTATTCATTATTATTGGGTTTCGTTGCCTATAGTTACTGGATATGTGGCTAAACATATATGTTCATCGGTATTCATAGCTGATCGTAGTGAAGAACAATATCGAGAAGATCTTGATGGTTTTCCTATGAAATATGCAAAATTTAATATTAATTACACTGATTTATCAGTAACTAGTTCTATATTTGGATTGGCTCAAATAAAAGCGATCTATCGGAATAGACTCGGTGCAACATTAATTAATGAATTAACAGAAGAAGAAATTCGTAATCAAAAATTTAATGTCGAAATATCATCTGATATAAATCAAGATCAAATTCCATGGTCCATGGGTGATCAGATAGATGTTGAAAGGTTTCCATCAAATATCAATAAAACACAATTGGAAAATGCGATCAATGATTTATTTATTGAAAAAGATCTAGTTAATCTTATTCGTACACGAGCGATCATTGTTTTGTATGATGGAAAACTGATAAGCGAAAAATATGCTCTAGGTTTTTCAAGAAAATCGAAATTTTTAGGTTGGAGTATGACGAAAAGTATAATTAATACACTTATTGGAATTTTGGTAAAAGATAAAAAATTAAATATCGATGAGTTTGCTCCCGTACCTGAATGGAATAATCCTAATGATCCTCGTCATTCAATAACAATAAAACATTTACTACAACAAACAAGTGGTTTAGATTTTAACGAAAATTATCTTACGAAAAGTGATGTAACACAAATGATATTTCAAACTAGTGATATGGCTGCATTTGCTGCTTCACATCCATTAAAATATAAACCAGGTACTCATTGTTATTATACTAGTGGAAGTACGAATATATTATCACGAATTATTCGTCATACAGTTGGTGAAAATGAATATCATTCATTTCCGTATCGAAGATTATTTTCTAAACTTGGTATGAAAAGTTTTATTATGGAAGTTGATGGATCGGGAACTTTTGTTGGTTCATCTTATTCATGGGGTACTGCTCGTGATTGGGCACGATTTGGTTTATTATATTTAAATAATGGATATTATAACCATGAACAAATCTTATCTGAAGAATGGATAAAACAATCTGTAACATATGTTGGTTCCAATCAATATGGTCAATATGGACTTCATATGTGGTTAAATACAGAAAAAAATAATGATTCATCTACACGAAAATTTCCAAATGTACCTGTAGATACGTTTTATGCAAGTGGTTTTAATGGACAAAATGTATTTATTATTCCATCGAAAAAATTAGTCATCGTTCGTTTCGGTTTAACAAGAACACCTAACGAAGAATATGGTGCAAATCAATTTTTAAAAAATGTTATTAGTTCAATTAATTTATAATTTTCTATTCGATTTATTTAACTTTTATTTTTCTTCATGAAAATTCATCATGTACTAGGATTTTTTGATAATAAATAATTGCACAAAGAAAAATATCCTTAATAGGAGGAGAGACAGAATAATGCACGAATTGTAATTATCAAGAAGGGTGACTGTAAGTATGAAGTGGGCGCAGATGTGAATAATCAAATACTCTTAACTCACACCTACACGCATCCTCGAAGGCTTCTTTCAGAGGGAGTTGACAAGGATGATGCTTGGAGATAATGGTGAACACAAAAAGGACGTCACTTTCAAACTAAATCAATACAATTTATGATATACTTTTTAGTTATTGTGTACATTTTTTAATGTGAACATTGAGTTCACATTTAACATTTTTCTTAGCTAGTCGTGTGTTTCATTTGGTATTGAACAATAAAGAGATAAATTCAACGATTAGACGATCGCAGGATAAAACAATATTCAATTTAAACTCATATTTCATTTACAAACACAAACTAAAATCGCTTGTAATTCTACCTATTATTATTATATTGACCATCAGAAAACCATGAAGCATGTTTTCATTGACAGAAATATATAGTTTCGTATAGAATTGAAATTAGAATCTTTTTGAGCAAAAAAAATCGATTAAAAAATCAGTGAGAATTAGATGAAAATATTGACACCATCATTTATTCTACACCATTCGTTACAATACTACATAGTTGAATGAATTCATTTATTTAGCACAAAATGTCTTGAAATACTATATGAATGAGTTATTCAAACAAAAATTTATTTCATAAGAATTGACAATTAACACTATGCGAAATAAATCGAATGCATAGAATTAGTCGAATTAAATGTATGAATAAAGTAACAAAATGAATTAAACTATTTTTGATTAACATACTTTTCTGGAGTAAACATATATTTTCGAAGAAAATAGTGAGTGTAAGTTTTAAGGTCAAGTTTTCGCGGTTTCCCCTTCTCATCACAGACCTTAACAATTATCTTGCAAAAACAACTATAGTCTATAAGAGACTTTTCACTTTACGTACTTTGTATTAGTTTAATGAGACTAAAGAATATATGTGAGTTCCATATTTCAGATCGAAAGGGGTTGCGCTAACAAGCTTTATTTTCTCTATTGTTACTTAATTTTATTATGCTTTTTGATTCTAGACAGGAGATTAATTATTGTCTGTGTAGTTTTAGGGAATTCTATTTTAATAAAAAGACTTTCATTCAATAATCACTGATCGTTCTTTTAGACGAAAGGATCATTGATCACCTAATTCGAAGGGTGAGTGTACCGACCAATGGAATCAGTAGAAAATAAACTTTCATATCTAAATCCATATCCATATGCATACTCATCTTCACGCTTAAAATTCTTTCTAATGCATGCGCAACATCCTTTTTGAATAGATTTTTAGGTATTGTAGTACTAACTAGCAAACATTCCTCAAAATGCAATGCATAGTGACATCAGCAACACTCAAAATGTTTGTTTTCAAATAATTGTAAATGAAGGCTGCCAGAGTTCAGAATGATGGAAAACTGTAAACATCATCCGGATATGTGGCTATTTTTGTAAAAGCTCATCTCCAAGTTCATAAGAAGTTTAAAAAACACGTGTGAAAAAGCAAAAAAATTCAGTCCATGGAAATTTGAGGTTAGAGGCGTCTTCACCGTGCTGAAAATATTTCTCAGTGAATAAATGCAATGAAAAATCCAAATATATAGGGTGAGAGAGAATTATCAGCGCTACTGGAATGAATGTGGGTATACAGACCAATCACAATTAGAGAAATGCTCGCACCCACACTCACACCCGGTATAACTTCAGATAGTCATGAATAATTAGTATAGTTCAATTTGAAAATAGGCTATTTGAGGTAATTATCGATCTACTATTGCATACAGTTGATCTGACATGTCCTAGTGTAGCAAAAGGAGAAGTAAAATATTAATTCTTTGTACGTGAACACATCCATTTCTTGCGCATTAGTATTGCTTGTCAGTGCTTATTTTTGTTCAAGTGAAGAATTCTATTATATTTAGAAGTGTTGGAAATATCTATGTTTTCGTATTCAGGATTTTCCTAATATGATATATTGGATTTTTCCCATCGTGGTTTCTTATATTGTATAAAGGTTTATACCTTTTCTCTTCCTCGTTATATATATATATATATGTTCTTTCCTTTCGGTTCTTTCTTTTCCGTTGTTCTTCTTCTTACATACTGAGTGGTAAATGTTATTGAACAAACTGAACTCACATTCACAGAAATTTACAAATCTACAATTTTTTTCATTCTATCATTTTATTTGTCAGATCATACAATTCACATTGCACACAATATTTACCGAATGAGAAAAAGAAATGACGCAGATTTATCGATGCACACTTTCGTTATTGTTTGAAATTGGTATTAAAATATTTATTCTACAAAGGACAACTCTCGCTAACAGTCATTCATTCTTTCAAAATACGTTTTTTTTTCTTCGGCTCTGTCATATCTCGAATTAAGCCTTTTTCAAGTAAGAAACACATAATAAATAATAAACTTGATATAAAATATGGCAGTACAGAGAAGAAATAGGATTGTATATGTTCGTCCACAGAATGTAGATATCGAATCGGTTGATAATAGTCGTAAAATACAAAGCACAATTTAATAATTTCTTCATACTATCTACGTCACCATCGAGAAGGAATATAGATATTAGATTTCTTTTTCTGCTGACACTCTACAAAATACCTACGTCAACGTACGTAATCGGTAACAAAATATATAATCATTTGTGTTATATTAAATCATTGGCGAGCGAAAGATAACGAACATTTTGCAAGACACCATGAAAAAGTCTGCTGAACTTTTCACCTCAACATTCTCTTCAACATTATCAACTAGTGTTCTCAATGAAGTGACACATATTATCGAAGAACAAACACCGGAATCGATACCTGCATTCATTACTCAATCGTTTCATTCTTTACTTATCATCGAACATTGGACATGGAAAATACTTGGTAGTAATTCCCGACAATGGATCAATGAGCAATCCTATACGAAATTATTTTACACTCTTGCATCGTTCAACATGAAATTGATTTTCTGTCAGGATAATATCGAACCTGATACAAAAGCAGCTCTTCTCCTTCCCGATACTATCGAATGCATCAACAATGTGTTCGAAGAAATCAATAAAACAGACGATACGACAGATGAGACATATTTTAGGATTATTAATCTTTGGTTCGATATTCTCTCACATTTAATCCATGAATATAAGCAATATGCTTCATCTGATATGGTTAATCATAACAATTACTATATCAGCTGCCATTATTTGATAAGTGATCAATACAAATTCTATTTGACCCAACTTCGAGAACAGAATCTTCAAGACTCCGTATTTACTAGTAAATTACTCTTCTATATCAGAACATGCTCACTATCAGTAAGCATCGGTTTGTATCCAACAAATGAAAAGTTTTCTTACACTATCGATCAAATTCTTGAACATTTCGCCGAAGATTATTCGGAAATAATCCGTGTTCATAGTTATGCTGTTACAACATGGAGCAAACAATTACTCACATGTATCACACATCTCATCAGTCTTATCGCTTCAACTTGTTATTGGGATGGTAAGAAAACAAAAAATATCGATATATTTATTCCACCAACAGACACATCCTACGAGTTTGTACAAGCACTCATTCGTATTATCTGTCATGAACCATTTCATGAACAAATCAAAGCTCAATGGTCTAATGACGAAACAATTCTTTTTGATGCTATTTTGATCTTTCTAATTGGCGTCACAGAAGCACAAGATTTAAGTTGTCGCATGCTTTTAAGAACGACATTAATCGATTTATTACAGACAGTGGCTCAAACAACATTGTACGATAGAATTTGTCTTGGCGCTTACGGTATTTTAGGTGTAATTTTGTCGGAAGCTGAACTCAAACGTCTAAATATAGCTGAGAACATGGTTGTATTCTTCTTCAACATTATTGAACAAGCATGGCGACACCCAACAAGAATATGCAAACAAATACCGATTTCTCGTATGCTTCAAGGTTGGTTTCGAACTTGTCTTCTTTTCTTAAGTACACGTTCTTTTTAGAGACACACTGACGAGCCTGAGTGTTCAAGTGTTAAATCGCTTTTGAAACGAGATTATTTTTAAAATTTTGTTCCCTAAGAATGATGACTATTTGCAAAATGATTTGGGTGTTCTGACCTTTGGATCTGAGATATGAGCCTTTCAAGACGTTTTCTCCTATCGGAGAGGATTTTCAAGGAAAAATCAAGATTCAAGTTTTGAGCTAAAACTTGTCACACATATATAGACCTGACCGAGATATGTTTGCATCCGCAATATTTCAATTTTCAAATGCTTCGTTTTGAAGATATCAATTTGTTAAAAGTTTCGGAGTTTCTCGTGAAAACTGTTTATTTTAAAAATTCGATATCTTCAAAAGGATGCATTTGACAATAGAAATATTGCATATTCGAACGTATTCCAGTCAGATCTGCAGCTGTGACAAGTTTCAACTAGAAATTCGAATCTCAGTTGTTTCCTTGAAAATTCTCTTCGATGGGAAAAAATGTCTTGAAAGATCCATATCTTAGATCCAAGGACCAAGACGTTCAAATCATTTTCCAAATAGTCATCACTCACAGAGAACTAACTTTTGAAAATAATTTCGTTCCAAAATCAGTTTAGCCTTTAGATACCTTTTCTTATGAGTCTATATAGAGTTTTGTGTACATCCTACATCAGTGTTGCGGAATTTTGCGCATATATATCGAAACGACTAGGTGTTCCTTACATATATGTTTGACCTAAGAGAGTTATATAAGTGGAAAGATCGAATCACTATAGCTTTCTTGTAATGTAACTGAAAACTCAATGTTTTCACATTCATTAGGTTGCGTGAATTTCTCAAAGAATGATATCATTCAACGTCAAACAGCCAAAGCGAACAAAGTA